GTTCCCGGTTTGCAAGGATTTACCAGATTACTGAGTGCACTACTGGTTTATTTCAAGTTTTTTTTTTTCCATATAATTCATTTTCAAATGATTTATTTTTAACTGAGTAAATATTATGTAAAATAAATATACATTTCATTTCAGCAATTGTTATGCAAGTGTTTTTACTATCTGTGATAGTGATATCAAATATATCGGCTTTATATTGGCCATTGACCACCCTGCTGTCTAAGACAGCGACCACCGCAAAATCAGTATCCATCAACCACTCATTTGCATGGCCATCAGTGGAGAAAGATGCTTTTCAGATGCTTTAGTTACAGTATCTACCAGCAGGGGCAAACACAGCCACGCCAACCAGACAAAGCTTGAGCTCCTGGGTAAAAATTACCCTAAGAAACAGCCTTTTAATGAAAAAACAACAGAAGAATTTAAGAAAAACACAGAAGTGAAGAACAACAAACAAGAATATTCATTCAGTCCCGTCTGAAGATGCTTGATTGTCTCCAGTATCAGAGAGACCTGCCATGCCCTGCCTGGACCGCTTTGATCCCACGGTCCGCTGGAGTCTGTACAAACACCATCAAAGCCTGTTCAACGTGTCCTTTCTTTTTGCAATGAAAGCTAATCATTTATATTTTTTTAACCTCCGAAGCCGAGGTGGAAGAAAAGAGGAGCTATTTGGGTAAAGCCTTGTCTCGCCCATGCAGGGGTTGATTGTTTCATGAGCTGAGACTGGGGTCAGTCCAGCTGGCATCCATCTGCTGTCAATTAGTGGCATGCTGAAAGCTCTTGGCCAAAGCTCAGGAGAAGAGTGTCGTAAATCAGCAGGGACCTTGGGTTCTGAAAGCATACTTCCATAGATGACAGAGGAAGGCGGTAGACATGTAGATCAAAACAAGCTCGTCACACATAGGTGCTGGTATGGCCGATGACGGCTGTTTCCAGGACGAGAAGAAAGAGACGGAGAAAACAGATGTGCTGTTCAAAACAAAAACGAGCCGAGGCACATGCAGGAGAGGTGTTGCTATGATTGGTGGATTTTTAACTTGTTCTACAAAAAAAATGTCAATGGAAGTCTTCTTCATTTGCTATTTCCATTTGTTTGATGAATTTAAAGGGGTCATTTTTTTTATTTTTTTTTTATTTACCTTTATTTAACCAGGAAATTAAAAACTCTTGAGATTTAAAATCTCATTTACAAGAGGGCCCTGGCCAAGATAGGCAGCACATTTAGTTACACATAAAACAAAATACATTCATTTACCTACACAGAAACATACACAAATCACTCAAAACATTTACAATCAGGCGACTCTACAATTATATCCTTTAAAATACATTTAAAATCATTTAGTGATACCAACTCTTTAAAGCATAACCTATCTTGTAGTCGATTCCAATCAAATGGAGCAGCATAACTAAATGCCCGTTTGCCCATGTTAGTACGAACTTTAGGGATGCTTAAAAGATAATAGTCTTGTGAGCGAAGACCATAATTCTTTACACCTTTTTGTAAAATATTCTGCTGTAAATACGAAGGAAGTAAACCTAAAATGATTTTATATATAAATAAGTACCAATGCTTAAATCTACGGGATTACAACGCCGGCCATCCAACCCGAGAGTACAATAAACAATGATGAGTAAGGGCTTTTGAATTTGTGATGAACCTTAATGCTCCATGATAAACTGAATCCAACGCCTGTAAACAATGCTTAGGTGCCTGCATGTATATGATATCACAATAATCCAACACTGACAAAAATGTAGCTGCTACCAATCTCTTCCTTGCTGCAAAAGAAAGACAATAATTGACTCTAAAAAAAAGGCCCAGTTTCGACTTTAATTTTCTCACAAGGTACTGAATATGAGGCCCAAAAGAAAGAGAATCATCAATTAAAAATCCCAAGTATTTATACTTAGATACTACTTCAATCTCCAAACCTTGAAGAGTAGTGATTGAGCATAAGTTTGAAAGTGCAGACTTTCTTTTTGTAAACATCATTGGTTTAGATTTCTCCGCATTTAAAACAAGTTTTAAATCACTCAGTGTATGCATCAAAATCAGATTGAAGATGACTCAGAGCCTGATCCAATGTTGATGCAGAGGAATAAATCACCATATCATCAGTGTATAAATGAAAACTTGAATGTGCGAGATTATTCCCAATATTATTAATATATAAAATAAATAATAATGGCCCAAGGACTGATCCCTGTGGTACGCCGATATTTACATTCAGAGTACAAGAAGTGAGTCCCTCTATATTTAAACATTGAGATCTATTCGATAAGTAATTAACAAACCATCCGACAGTATTTACTGATCATTCACCCCAAAATGACAATTCTGCCATGTTTTACTCACCTTCGAGTTGTTTCAAACATGTATGCTCTTCTTTTGAACATAAAGAAAGATATTTTGAAGAATGTTGGTAAGCAAACAGTTTCTGGTCCCCATTGCCTTCCACTGTATTTTTATTTTTTCCATACTATGGAAGTCAATGGCTACCAGCAACTGTTTGCATTCTTCAAAATATCTTCTTTTGTGTTCAGCAGAAGAAAGAAACGCATACAGGTTTGGAACAACTTGAAGGTAAGTAAATGATGACAGAATTGTCATTTTTGGGTGAACTGTCCCTTTAAGGGCATGGAATTGAGTGGTCATTTAGCTTTACTAGGTCAGCTAGTTCACCTGCTGAATTTTACTCTTTGTACCCATCAGATCTTGAAGAAATCATGCATAGAAATCCTTGCTGCAGAACCTTCCAGTATCTGTGCTGGAGGTGAGTACATTTCTCACTAGATCAACCGATGTAAGATGTTCAGCAGTAGCAAACTGTCCTCCAGAATAATAGGTTCTGTCAGGACCACTATCGTCAAAGTTGATTGACAATTAGCATACAGTTTGGTTTGGCGGTATGGTTCTGTTCTGGGCAAGAACTCCCTGCGCATCCATGCAGCCTAGCATGGATGAGAGCAGGGAGAGCAGCAATAACCCCCCCAAAACTGCTGGTAATACTGAGGGACCTTATATATGAATGCTTAGATAGGTGTCGTATTCCCATAGGTAGATGGGGATCAGCTGAGAGTCAGCTGATGCGAGCTTGACTAACGTGACCTGCCAGAACTAACGCTACGCTTGATATTGATAATAATGGAATACAAAAAGTCGTCATTTGATCAAAAGCCCAGAAGTGAGGTGTGTTTATGTTTAAACAAACATGCTATTTACATTACATACCTTACACAATCACACACCTTGGACTTAAAAAGACAGTAGGTTTATATAACGCATCACTTAAATATGCTAAAGAGACTGAAAGACCAAAAATGTACTGTTGGAACTTTAAAAAGGCACTTCAATTAAATTAACATTTTTTAATTCATTATACAGTATTTAGTTAAGTTTAAGTTGTTCAGGTCAATGGATTTGTCAGTGCTATGCAAAAAAAAAAAAAAAAAAAGTACAAAAGTTTTTTTAAAGAGTAAATTCAAGAGTCCATATGTGACCACATTTACTGCTGTTTGGCAAATTTTCACAAAATCCACTAATTTAAATAGGAATCCTCACAATCTGGAATTACGTACAGTGTATCCATCAAAATATGGATAGAAAAATATATAGAATAGAAAAATATATAGAATATGTGAATTTGCCATGTTGACCAGCAGAAAGCTGTTTGGTTTGAAAGTGACATTGAGTTGTGCTTCATACAGTTACCGTACTATTGACAATAGACAATGGACCTTTTCGCTCACAAAATTTTGCTGAAATTTTGCTAATATAAAAAAAAAAACCAATGCTTTGATATTTCTTTAGACAATAAAACTTCTTGTACATTTACAAGTGTTCTTGTACATTTACTTGTACATTTATGGCTCTGATTTGTTTTAATGTAACTGTCTTTCAAAATTCACTACACGATTTAACATTGTGATGTGTGAACTTTCTGTTTTAAAGAGGCGTTCCAAGTCGTCGTGAGAGGAAATGGATTCCTTCATGCTAGAAATGTGGACAAGGTTCTTTGCAGCTTCAGAATAAATGACACCCTTACCAGAAGTAAGTACAATGAAATTCTGGCTTTATTTTTTCTTTTTCTTTTAAGGAATAGTTCACCCTAGAGTTAGGGTACTTGGACCCGGGTGGACTTGTACTCGGACTTCACACAGACTGTTTTTAGACTAGACATTTTGGACTGGACATTTTTCTTAGTACAGATGAATCCACATCATGTTTAATTTGAAAGATAAAAAAGGAACAACTTAATAAATGTCTCCCACTCAGACTCAATTGGACTCGACTCGACAAGGTGGACTTGAACCCAACACTAGCTCACTTAAAAATGACAATGCTGGCATTATTTACTCACCCGTTTCAAACCTGTATGCTGTTGTTTTTTCCATGCAGGGCCGTTTCTAGGCATAGGCGAGCTAGGCGGTCGCCTAGGGCGCCACCAGCTGAAGGGGCACCAATGAGCGCACGTACTGGCACTTTTAGCAGGGTTGTGATAAAGTGGCACGGTCACCCTAAAATATGACTTTTAGAGATTTAGCCTAGGGCGTCAAATTGGCTAGAAATGGCCCTGTTTCCATGGAACATAAAATAGATTTTTTAAGAGTCATCATTTTCATATAAGTGACCATGGACTGTCAAGCTACAAAAAGGCACAGAAGAAGCGTTACGAACATAGTATACAGAATGTGACTTGTGCACTTAATTCCAAGTCTTTGGCTGTATCACGAGCAGACCTGAAAGAGACTCTCAAATAAATGTGGACATCAGGTTGCATTAAAGTAATATCAAACGTCATTGAGGGTCTCATAACTTGTGCCATATTTGATTTGAGAGCTGTCGGTGAAGGTTAATAGTGAATGATGATTTACATTTCACTCTATCTTATTGTATAGCTTCAGAAGACTTCAAATATACTGCTCAAGTGATATGGACTATTTTTATGACACATTTATGGTATTTATTTGTAATTTTGTCCTTTTTAGTGACCTTTAGTAACTTTGAACTGTTGTTTTATGGAAAAGATATTTTGTGTTTCACAGAAAAAAGGAAAGTCATGCCCGGAGTTTTCATTTTTGGGTGAACTATGCCTTTAAGCCGACCATTACATTACAATGCATTACCAAGAACATGTATGTTGAACACATCACTGGTTCAATGAAGACTATTAAACAGGGTTAAATGTTATGTGGGATAACAGCAGTCTTATATAAGACATTTCCGTGACTTTCTTGCGTAATTACCATATGGTTGGAAGGATTTGAGGCAGAATCTAAAAACCCTTCTGATTAGCTGATCATTTTTCCACCGAACGTCCCAGAAGACTAGTTTTCATAGAAACCCTGGAACGGCAACCATGCCATGTCAGTCCCATTTGTGTTTTGGCTAATAGTACTTTTTAAAGGCTACATTAGGAGTTTTATATGATGGATTCCTGCCAAATGAAGGAGATATAAGAAAGAAATGCTGCCACACAAAAGGCTGACAGCGTTCGCAAAGCCCGTCAGGCAAATGTCAGCTCTACCCCTTGCAGTTTTTACTGTAGGTCTCATGTTCTGTGTCCTTTCTTACACACTTTAGTATTGCCGAGTCTGATGAACGAGTCACAGGCGTGATGAAATTACACTAGTATGCCAGCAGATGTACAGTGAATCTCAACTGATTTTTGCTTTAGGGCGCAGATTTTATATTGGACATCAAGTGGCAACCAACCGAATCTCACTGGAAAACGTATCTTTTTTATGAGGTGGCAATTTTGTATAAATGTGTATCATATGAATTGTACCAAAAACATATGACTTAAAGGGATAGTTCATCCAAAAATGAAAATTTGCTGTTCATTTGCTCAAGCTCAGGCCATCCATGATGTAGTTGACTTTTTTGTTCAGCAGAACAGTAAAGAAGATGTTTAGCTGAAACCGTGGTCCTTGGTGATTCATAAAATGCAAGTCAGTGGCTGCCGGTTTTTGAGAATATAAAAAGCATATCAAGGAACTCAAAATTAATACGTGTGGCTCCTGAGGATATACTGAGGTCTTATGAAGCAAAACTATTGATCTGTGCAAGAAACTGAACATTATTTACAACATTATAATCCAGAGCCTCAGGTAAACGGGTAAATCCAGTTGTTTTCTGCAAAATGGTTATTTCGGACAGTTTGTATCTATGAACTGGTTCAATTCACTAGTTTGTTTATGTAATCACACACACACACACACACACACACACGGACGGACGGACGGACGGACAGACAGACAGATAGTAAATGTTTCATATGAATTATTCATATGAATTAAGGCCTGTTCACTCTAAGGATTATAACTATAATGATTACGTTATTGTTTTAATGACTTTCACAACTTAAACGATAACTGCACAGAGGAACAATATTGCTTGAATCACTTTTAAAACAATTTATTTCTAGCTGATGAACTATAACAACAGCTTGAGCATTTAAAGTGTCAGATGGCATAATGGCAGTGTGCAATTATAATAAACAGAATGTTAGCATCCATTAGTGTGGACGCTAATATAACTGTCATTATAGTTATCTTTATAGTTATCGTTCTTGGTGTGAACAGGCCTCCAACCACTAATTCAACAACATTTAAAATAGCTACAAATTGCCAGGAAATTGTGTTGGTGCCAACAGATTTGCGACGCATTTTAGTGTCACCACTTGAGAACTTTTCCAAAAAGCGTCGCCTTTACAAAAACAAAGAGCTGTTTTCTGCTTCAGCGGCTAGCGACTAGCAAAACAGAGTGCCATGGTTCACATATGCCCCATGATGGCTCAAATTAATTACTAGTTATGGAAAAGATGTGCAAGCATTGCATATTTAACCAAATCTGTGCAAGTGATTTAACCAAAATTAAAGTGCAAGTGATTCAATGTTGGCATTTCATATGCAGCGATACTGTAATTGTATTAAAGCTTCAGGGAGGGTCTAATTCGCTCCAAACAATCATTATTTAATTAAAATTGGTGCTGGTTGTAAGATCAAAGCCCAGTCATCTGACTTCAATCCTATTTTACAGTATCAGTAATAGGTACCAGATTTGGAGCTTCGCCTCTCCTTGCATGTCTTTGCTCTGATTAAAGCCGGATATTTCAAACATGGCATGAGTGTAACTGTGTCATGGAAGCAATTTGGAAAAAAGGAAAAACCTTTTTCTGTCCACCCCTCAGCACACCGGTCCCACTTTCCCACCCTTAAGGCATATTCCCAGACCTAAACCAAATTTACTCCGACTTTGAGGAGGCCTGCTGTTTATTTGCTCTTGACCACTATAAACACTAGAGAGGATATCCTGTAAATGAATGATAATGTCCATCATGCACAAACCTGCTCCCCTTTCTTTGAACACAAGGATGTCGGAAAGAGCTGTGTTGGTTACTGCTCGTTAATCTTCTGACTTGCTTCTGACTACTCTGAAGATGTAACTGTCGAAATTTTCACACTGCTTGTCCTAATTAGAACAGAAGATGAGTATTAGTGCATCTAAATATTATAATATACAGCGGTTGAACAAAATAATGTGAACATCCATTATTATAGGGGTTATTATCATTTGTGTAGGCTACAGTAAAAAAAAAAAGTTGTATTCATATTGTAATTAAATAAAATTTATCTTCTCGCTGTCTGAATTCTCTAGTTTGCATATTAGTGTGGTGTAAGCTGTGTTTAGCAGTGTTTAGTACAAGCCGTGGGTGAAATGAGTGGCTTGTCAGACTTAAAACAGGACAAATCATGGGAGCACGTTTGGAAGAAGTGTCTTTAACCTTAACAGCCCAGTTGTTTGGTGTTTTAAGAACAACAGGCTTTATGATTATGACTGTGTTGACTGTGTGCGGAAGAATAGTGGCTGAAAACTGAAAGTGAATGATAGGGATTGTTAAACACTAAGAAGGATTGTATCCAAACAACACAGAACTACTGCAGCAAAGTGACACCAAACCTCAATATTCACCTTGAAGACCCTGTTTCCTCAAAAACCAACCACGGAAAACTTCACAAAGCCAAAACCCATGTAAGAGCTAAAACTAAAAGACACCCATGATACAATTTGATCATGATCATAAAACCTGGACAAAATAATGTGAACACCTGGGAAATAGGCAGTGTTTCTTAACCGAGGTATTTTTCCACTGTTTGCCTTTAAGCTTCCAACCTTCTCAGAATAGATTCATACAACTTTTGAATAGTCTCCAGTTAAATATTTTCTATCGCTTCTCTCCCGCATCTTTGATTCTCTGGATCGAACTTCAACATCTGCCCTGGCCAGACAAATCCCCTCACAATCACCTGACTTGAATATTATCAAACCACTGTGGATAGTTTTGGAGAGAAGTGTGAGAAGCGGACTCCCTCCTCCAACATTTAGACAACATTCAACTGGAGACGATTCAAAAGTTGTATGAATCTATTCTGAGAAGGCTGGAAGCTGTATTAAAGGCAAACTGTGGAAAAATACCTCAGTAAAGAAATATTGCCTATTTCCCAGGTGTTCACATTATTTTGTCCAACCTTGGATTTGCTTAGATGGTGTACAGTTTCATAAGTTTGTGATTGTACTCTACAGCCCGAAGTGTACTTTAGTTTTGACACAAACACTAGCGTATGTGTACAGCTTAATACACAGTCTTTTAAAGTACAGTGAAGGCAAGTTTGAAAGTCAATAGTCATGCTATTGTGGATTTTTTTCTTTTGCTATTGGGGTAAATATGAACACCAAAAATTGTATTTGTTGTAATTTCCGCTCAACTTTGGTTCTGAGAATCCCGTAAATGTGAAAAGGGTCCAATCATTTTATGAACCATTTAGCAATTGATAAATTCTAAATAGCTGATATCACATTAATAGAAAAATTGATCAGTTCCACAGAAAATAACCAAAAACGTATGTAAACGATAAGGATGGCCTTTATAGGAGTTACAGGTCAGATGACTAAACAGTCACTTGCCATTTCAGGTCAGTGCTGCTCTTTCATCTTATACATCCATTATTATGTATACTGAACATCTCTGAACATCTTTCAGACATTGGTACCTTTGCAAGCTTTGGCAAACCCAACAACTGCTTCTTCCTCAAAGCACTTATAATTTGTATAGTTTTTAGCTGTGTGCCGTATGCATCAGACGGTCAGTGAATGGACTGGGTGCAGTTTGCGGGTGTCTAGACTAGCTGTCTTTGACTTGCATTTCCTTTCTTTAACCTCAAGAAAATCCTCAAGAAATCAGATGATTGCATAACAAACACAAGGGCTGTTGAATGCATCCCTCAGGCTTCAGCCCAGTCAGGGCATTTCTCTCTCGAAAGGCTCAGAAGTAATTTGGTATCAGCAGTAATTCTTATTGATTTATCACGCAAGTCGAAACCATGTGCACATGTCTTTACTTAGTAGTAAAACATGACCTTCCCTCATGTGCTATGGGTAAACATCCCAATAAAGCAGAATGACAACTGCCAGAATTCTGATTCTTTGGGATTTCAGCCGACCTCCTACACCAACAAACCGAAAAACACAGAAGTGTTATATTTGTAAATGTTCTGCTGCGTTTTTGCTCTGGCTGCGTGAAGCACCAATCGCCCTCCTGTCCATTTGATTCTTTGGAGTGTAGTAATTCAGAGTCGCAACTGAGAGATATAAAATTGAAAATATGCAATTACAAGAGCAAACCTTACATCTGCAGTTTGTTGTTTTTGGGTGGTTTTAGGCCTCCATTGGCTTCTCAGTAGGAGGCCCTTGACAAGTTTCAGAGCAATGGCCCCATTACCCCGTTCTGTAATCCGTGACCCACTTCTCTTTCCTTTTGGATACTTGAGGGCTACCAAGGGTTAAGTACCTTGCATAAGAGTTGATTCTTATGCAACGAGTTAAAATGTAGTTGAAATGTTTTGCAACAATGAAAATTGTATGCAGTCTGTCCTCAACAACTGCATAAAAACATGAAATATCTTTATATGCAACAAGGAATCAGACAACAATATGCATATATTTTATGCAGTATTTTCCAGATTTGCCATTTGAAATGTGATTCTGCATTTATCGTTTTTATTAGTGGTGAAGCCATTGGTAGTGGAGGACACGTATCTGCTCTGTCCAGCTCCTGTTCTTCGAGAGGAGGGAACGTAAGTGTCCCAGAGACATATTTTTACTTTCTTCCTAGTGGCAGAAATGTTACCTGTGCCTCATTAAGGAATGTAATACAGTGTTTTCAAAGGATTTAAGTATTTTTTTTTTATTATTATGTTTATTGCAGGGCAGCCTCCCTTTACGTTAGCATGAACGAAGGCTTGAGTTTTATCTCTAGTTCTGTTACTATCACCACTGTAAGCTGTGTAAGTATTATTCTAAATCATATTTTGTGCTTTATTACTTGTGTTTTTGTGTTTTACAACCAGTATTGGGGAAGCTACTGTACACTACTGTTCAACAGTTTGGTGTCAGTAAGATTTTTTTATGTTTTTGAAGGAAGAGTCTTTGAACCAAGGTTGCATCAAAACCAGTAATATTGTGAAGTAATATTACAAATTAAAACTAGATGAGTAAAGTTTGTTGAGGTTGGCTTGAGAAAGCCTAACCTGAAAGTTTGAAGCGGTTGTAAAAGCTTGAAGTTTGAAAGTTTAGATTATCATGTTGCTAGCATGTTTTTATCGTGATTAGCATGTTGTTAGCATGTTTCTAGCATGATCACCGTGTTGTTAGCATGTTTCTAACATGATTAACGTGTTGTTAGCATGTTTAACATGTTGCTAATGTGTTTCTAGCATTATTACCATGTTACTAGCATATTGCTAACATGTTTTAGCATCCTGCTAGCATGATATTGCACATTGCTATCATGTTTTAACATGTTGCTAGCATGATCTAACATGATTAGCACATTAGCATGTTGTCGGATAGTCATTAAGCTTTGCTGGTGATACACAGTTTAAACACTCTATAAGTGTTATTGTACACAAGTTTTGACCCCCTCAATGGAAGAAAAGAAAAGATATAGCAACCTGAGTCAGACAAGTCTAAAGGCCTGACCTGAGTTTGTTGGTTGTAGCTTCACAACTCTAGGAGGAGACACAGTCCAAATTTAGTCTCAGAAGAAGAAGAAGAAAAATAAATCATTCTGATTTGCTGCTCACTAAACATTTAGTATTATTATCAATACTGTAAACAGTTCTGCTACTTAATTAAGAATGGAAAGTGTGTTTTTTTCAGGATTATTTCATGAAGGAAAGTTTGAAGAACAGCATGTATTTGAAATAGACATTTTATGTACCATTCTAAAAATGGTCAGTGTCACATTAGATTTTTTTAACATGCTCTTGCTGATTAAAAGTATCAGTTTCTTTAAAAAAAGTAAGTAAATAAATTAATAATTACCCCAAACTTTTGATTTATGTACCAAACCGCTTGATGTTGGAAGACGTAGCATGCTACTGGAGCTGCGCTATTTTAAATATAGTTTGATTACTTTCATGCTACTTAAAAATATAATTATGTTAGGCTACTCCCCAACATTTGAATTCACACGGCTTGAAGCAGCAATATTACTCAAAATGATTCTCTAGCTAACAGCCATTGCTGTAGTGTTTTCGCTTTTGAAAATGCAGCCAAATTACTGTGAAAAATGTGTTAAAGGAAAGTAAACAACAGATTCTACAGGTTGGGAACTTTTGTGCAAAGGAAAACAAAATTATGATAAAAAATTATTAAAAGGATTACTGGAGTGTCTGATGCCTGTAAAGTGGTGCCAGTCAAAGCTCTTTAGAAGAGCACAATAGGTTTCCCAACAGACAAATCCAAAAGCTTCCCACAAGCCAATGGGTTATGAGATCTCCCAGTGAGATCACTTGTAACTTAGTTCATCCCCTCGGTTAATAACCATCTCTTTCAGCATGCATCATCTTTTATTTTCATAGCTAGCACCCTTTCATGCAACCATTGTTTGAACTGGAGATTGAACAACTGACATCATCTTATTGTTCCATTGCATTTTCCAAATGTTTTTCTGCATGTCATTTGGATCTGCTGTCATAACAAAAAACAGTCCCACTCAGAGAAGTGTTCATATCTGTTTCTCCCTACAGTCTGATGGTACGATCCTGGCCATAGCGCTACTGATAGTGATGCTACTGCTGATTCTGGCTCTCCTCTGGTGGTTTTGGCCTCTCTGCTGCACAGTGGTGAGTCCTGCATGGAAAATCTTGAGTTTACTTAAATAGAAGTCCTGCTACATATTCGGACTTGTGTGCACAAAATTTGCATCTGCAGAATTACACAGAAAACTCGATGTATCTCATAGCCTGGGGTGTGTTTCCAAAAAGCACCAACTATGCATAATTATTTGTTACATGACATCTACATGATCATTCTATATTGTCAATAGAGTCAAAGTTCAATGGTATGACACACACAGAGCTGGGTGGATTACTTACAAATTGTTATCCATTACTGATTCCAAATTACATTACCAAAATTGTACAAGTAATCCATTACATTAGACATAATAACCTTAAATAACCTACCGAGTGATGATTTAAATAAACATTGTGTTATGTTGAAACACTTCTTAAACCGGAAATTATTTTTGTAAATTCAGTGGTCAAATGCTGTGTAGCCACCCTGACTAGTGACTGGACTTGTGTGAATGTCCAAAAAACTGAAAGACTTTCTGTGTATATAAGTGGTAGGCTATTTTAAAATGGAACATTTAAAAGATGAAAAAGAGGAATTAGGGAGAATCAATAAATTATGTATAATTTATTGCTATTGTGTGAATAATATGTAATCATGTAATCCATAATACATAACTGTAATCTGATTATGAGCATTTTAAAATGTAATATACTCTAATTACAAGTACTTGATTTTGGAATCTGATTACATAATCCAGATTACATGTAATCAGTTACTACCCAGCACTAAACTTAGGTATGGTTAAGGGTTAGGTTTAGGAAAAAAATGCATTGCTCTTGGCTGATTTAAATTTTGATTTAAAAAAAGAGTTGACATTTCTACAGTAAGTTTTTAATGTTTTTAATGTGTAATGTTAACAAAAAACTTGTTTTTCCCATTAGGTTGTAATTTCTGATGAATTCTAACTTTATTCTAACTAGCTTAATTCTAACCAAAATTATTCACATTTCTCACCCTTTTTGTGGCCATTTACTAAATATTTTGTCTAATTTGTTAATAATTGATAATAATCAGCTACCAGTAGGGAACAATTTACACAACACATTTTTGTTTAAAAATGTGAGATATGAAAAAAAATGCAAGGTCTAGAAGTTTTCTTTAAAACCGAAGTAATTTTAACTCACTTTTTAGAATGTGCTAGTAGCTACAAAAGATGGGATACATTAGATCCATGGTCAAACACATTTCACACACACAGAAAAACAATGGGAATGCAGTGCAGTGGAATGCAAAAATGTGTGTAGTACTCTCAGTTGCACATTTTACCACGCTTATAACCATTTCTTGTATTCTGTCAGATTTCCCCCCACAATGACTGTGGAGGAAATGTGCAGATTCTGTGTGGTCTTATTTAATGGTTAGAAAACAATTCAAAATGTAAAATCTCATTATTTTGTACATAATTACACAGAATGGCCTGTAGCCATGATGTCATGGGGTTTCAATGACTGAGAATGGACCAATAACAAATTAAGAGGATTTATTTGAAGATTTGGTCATTTTCATTAAATGTGGGGAAGTCTACTCCTCTTTCAGAAACATGAGCACATTTGAAGTTTTTTACCAGTATGAAATATTAATATCTTATTGCCTGTCTCTTATTAAACTGTATTTCTAAATGAATATCTATTAGGACGATGCATTACACATCAAGTTTTCCAACCATACAAAATACTAAATGCTTGGAACATCTAAAAACTACATGTGAGAATTACAGTTGGCAAATGATTTGCTTACTGTGGGCTAAAACTGCACTCCCCTGAAGCCTAGTATATAAGATTAATGTGTTTAATTAGGATTTGTATCTGACAAACCTGTTGGATTTCTATTTTTTCAATAATTATATAAATACACAAGGACGACTTGAACCAAACTCCATTACCTAAAGAGACATTTTAGATGTGACATCCTAGGCCTAGGGACACACAGGCAAAAAAGTTGTTTCCTTTGCACCTTAATGCTGGACGACCTTTGGTTGTTGCCATGATCTTTCTTCCAGGTTTGTTTGTTTTGACCATGTAATGAGCCCTTCTTGTGCTAAGCTAAATTCCAGTTGTGACCAGGCAGTCTTTACAGGTTGTGTTGGGTTAGCTTTCATGTCCTGTTTGTCCTGTAATGACTTGTTAAGCCCCAACTGAATATATTAGACTCACACAGAGTCAAGGCCACCTGGGATTCGTGGACAAATTGGTTCAACACCTCTTGGATTTGACATCACCTTTGAACTGTCGAGGTCAAAAGTGAGTTTCCTCATTGCTTTTCCAGCAGAGGTGCAGATGTGGAACCTTCTTTTACACAAAGAAAGTTTGAGTATAAGCACTTAGAGATGATCGGGGGGCAACTAAACTCTGCAGGACAGCGGATCTCTAAGCCCGAACTTGCCTACCCCTGGTCAAGATGGTTGATTATGTGGCTAGATATTCAACAAATGATTAGTAAGGTTGACTAGATTTAGATTTTTTTTTTCTTATTTAGTCAGACCAGTCCAAGACATGTAGACCTCTACATATACACTTACTAATGATTAGTGTGTGTTATCATGAGAGTTCACTCGTGTAGGTGCTATTGAATGACAGTGTTGTAGCACTCAAAAAAGGACTCAATCTCAAAATGAAGAAAATCTAGTCTTGGACTTGGACTGATCATGGACATGGGAGCATATGGACTTGATATTGACTTGGACTTGACCCTCTTCTGGTCTCAGTCTTGACTCAAACAAACTCGAACCTCATCTGGCCTTTGTCTTGGCTGACTCGAATGAGCTGGTCCCGACTACAACACTGGGCAATGCTGCTCTTTTACTTGTGTAACTGGTCCTACTGCACCACTCTAAGTGGGATTCGAAGCAGCGTCAACCAGCATGGGAGTTAGGTGCAGTCAGTAACTAGCACAACTCTTAAGGCCAAGTGAGGGAAATTTACCAGCATAGCTCTTACCAGCTGGCCTTCGTTACACCCTAAAACTCAAGCTCAATTCAGCGTTAAGTAGCTCTTCTGAAGACAGCAGTTTCATTATTCATCTTGAGTCAGTTCAATGTTGATTCAATTCAGTTCAATAACAGTGTCAGTGTTGCAAATGATGTATAAATTAGATTCAACTCTAAAGCAGAAGGCAATAGTGTCATTATTTAGCTCAATTCAGTTCAAGTTTTGTTCTTGTTCTCACTTTCCCATTTGAAATTGCAGTCACCAATCTGCGCCCAGACCTGGTTCTCTGGTCCAACTCCAGCCGGATCGTCATAATAATCTAACTGACAGTCCCTTGGGAAGAGGCCATTAACAAGGCCTTCGAAAGGAAGAAGCTGCGATATACCAACTTGGCAGCTGAGGCAGAGGAGCGGGGCTGGACAGTGAAAGTATACCCGGTGGAAGTGGGCTGCAGGGGCTTTGTGGCTAGTTCCACTATAAGGCTGCTGAAGGAGTTGAGCATCAGAGGACAGGTCCAGCGGAGGATAGTCAGGGAATTTTCCACTGTTGCCGAAAGAAGCAGCCACTGGCTGTGGCTGAAGCGGATGGACACAGTCTGGGCTGCCAAATGACCATGTAACAAAGTGACACACACCCGAGTCTGATCAGCCTGTGGTGGGCCTGCCTCGGCTGAGGGTGTCTTGTGATAAAGGGCCGAAACACCCAATGAGGCTGGGCTAAACAACTGATGATGTTTTGCATTGGTGGAAACACCATACAAAGGTCATTGGCAACATCACCTAGTGCTGAACACCTAGTCCTATTATGCAAACTCATCTGATAATATCAGTGCCAAATTGATGATATTATTTAATATTTAGTGACTTTCAAACCCCAACTAAGCAAGCCAAAGGCAACAGTGGAAAGGAACCCAAACTCCATCTTCTCGAGGGCTCATCTCGTCAAGGTCTTCGCTGACCGTGAAGGGGCTTATTGTGGAGGCGAGCACACTAACAAAGGTGCTAAACAACTTTTACTTGTTGGTCTCTGTTACACTAGCACAAGCTGGTTAGATGGTCATTGTTCCAGGTAGACTAGCTTGTCCAATGTAATCATGATGGTGACCAGCGAAAGACTTATTCTATAGATCAGGGTTGTCAAATCCTGCTCCTTGAGGGCCACTATCCTGCAGTGTTTAGCTGCTACCCTAATTCGGCTCCAGTCAGCTAATCAAGGCCTCCAGAATAACCTGAAAACTAATTCTGGCAGGTGGCAGGTGAAAGGCAGGTACGTTGGAGCCAGTGTTAATTTCGTCAACGAAGACGACGCCGAAAAATATTCCTTAACGAACATTTTTTCTGTGACTAAGATGAGACGTTGATCAGCTAAAACTAATATCTGATGATAAAAACTATGACGAAATGTATG